AGAGAGCAGACCTGCTCTGAGCCTCGGGGATGGGGTCACCTGCCAGGTGGACACTCTCTCCCCCTCACAGAAGCACTTGGGTGGTCCATGCACATCGACCCTCTGGCATGTTCTATCTGGCCTGCATGGGAGCAGGAATTAATTTTGTTTCTTATTTGAATGTCTTCGGGTCCAGCCAGCTCTCCCCAGTTCTCTTTCTCACTGTCCACTCCTCAGCCAGCATTTCCTGGGGCCCTCCCAAATGAAGGGCTTGTATGTCACTGATGAAGGCGCCCTCGGATGTGCTACCCCGAGAAGAACACAACCTCAGGGATGCAGCGTGTGGCCGGAAAAGCCCAGCCTCCATCTAAGCACAAGGAGACATGGGGTGGGCACAAAATGAGGCACGTCCTCACCCCATCTTTTCATGTCATCTATGTCAAAGAAAGGCTGTGGGAAGATTCTGATTACAGGAGGCTAAAAAGACAGGACAAGGAAATGCAGCATCTGGTCCTAAGCTGGACCCATCCCGGAGGGGAAAGGCTAGAAAGGATATTACTTGGTCAGCGGACAAAACTGGACCAGACAGTAGGTTAGATTAGAATATCGCATCCAAGTTAAATGTGCTGAAGTCAATACCGCACGGTGGTTTTACGAGAGAATGTCCTTATTCTTAGGAGCCAACAGCAAAGTATTTGGGGTCTCCCTGGGCTCTCCATCTTATAATGAAGGAGTTGGTTTACCTTAGAGCTTTCAATCCTTTTATTTTGGAGGAGGAGTCATAGGTTCCTTGGAAAATCTGATGAAATCATTGGACACTTTGCACTCGGCAAAGCGCATGATGTACACATGCTTTGCTGCATGGCATCTTTATAGGCTCCCAGACCCCTTGTAGAAACCCTTGGCTGGGAAACCTTGAACTTATGGTCTTCTTATAGGCTTTCCAGTTACCACATTCTGAAGTTCTGACAGCAAAGGGCCATGATATATTCACCTTCCCCTTAAATAGTCCTGAAAAACATACTGTGTATAGATAATTTTAAAAACAGAGAAAGCAAATGATAAAGCAAATGGGGAAAAGTGTTTTTAAAAAGATATATTTGAGTAGTCTATGTACTATTTTTGTTCTTTATGACATTTTTTTGTGAGTTTGACATATTTTCCAAATCAAGTGTTAAAAAAATCCATTGCACATTGGCCTTCTAGAGTGTTCTATGTGGCCTGCATGGGAGCAGGGATTAATTTTGGCAATTATTCAATAGGTGATGCCCATTACTGGCATTTCAACCCAAGGAAGAGTGGGGAGGGAGTTTAATGTCGCTGGAGAGAGGTGGGGGGGCGCACACACAGAGTTGTGCAGTGGGCACTGGGGGTGAGGAGCCCAGGTAGGATGGGCAGCTGATGGGCAGAGCTCTCCATAAACTCCTATTTCAACTTGAACTTCTTGCTGATTTTTGCTAAGGGAGCAATTCTGTGGATAGTCAGGGATCGTGGTTGGCTTCTCTTTCTCACCTTTCTCTGTTGTTTACCTGCCTGTCTCTCTCCACGGTACAAATTGTTACAAGGGACTTCCCAGAATCACAGGCTGTATGCTGGGAGGGTTTTAAAGAACCGTCTCATCCACCTTCTTCAAGGGATCAATGAGGAAAGGAAGGCCCAGTGAAATCAATTTCTAGTCCACTGCTCTGCAACAAAGGAAGGGTAAGAGTTGGTGCCTAAATACCCCAAGACCACCCTCCTTGTTCTGCTCGGGGTAGCACGGAAATGTATTACAATCTTGTCTTGAATATTTTCTTTGAGGTCTTGGGCACTGTTTCAGATTAACATAAGAGCTGACAGACTAGAATGTTCTGTTGGGAATCAGACTACTTGGATCAAATTAAATGAACTGGCTGTGTGGCCTTGGGCAGAGATGGCTTTTCCTCTCTGAGCCTTGGTTTTGCCATCTTAAAATGCAGAAGTTGGTTTACTTAACTTCTTGTCCTTTTTCAGGAGTCATGAATTTCCCTGAGGATCTGATAAAAATCATTGAACCCTTTTTCAAAGCTGTGCATTTTGAGACACACATCATCTCCAGGGGTTCACAGACCCCTCGTGGAAACCGCCTGCTTAGACTGTTCTTTTTTTTTTTTAAAGACTGTCTTCTAATGGGCCTTCTAGGTACCAATTTCTCAAGTCTTAAAAGCCATGAAAATAGAGCCAGTGAGTCAAGCCCCACTTGTACTGCATTGAAGAATCACTTCTTGGGCTCAGCTCTGTCTGGCTAGAGAGGTGTTGAACCAATATTTTCAAGTTGTCTCTGGGAGCCGCATGAAAATGTCTTGAAGTAGAGGGTTATTTGCTCTTTGCCTTCATCTGGAAAATTTCTACGTTTGGCTACAGTCATGCCCATTGGCCTCAGAGAAAAACAAGCCCTTCTGTGAATCACAAGACTCTTTTCAGCCAATGGGGATGCAGAGACCACCTAGCAACTTGCTGGTCATCCCCATCCCACCCAATCAGCATAAAGGAAAGGCTGCTTCATTGGGCTAGACTAACACAAGGAGACCGGTCCCCTGGGACATCATGGAGATTAAAAATAGAGCCTTTAATTAAGCCCCACATGTGAGCGATCAATTCCAATTTTCCACCTCTAATTTAGCAAAGAATTTCCACTGGGCGTGTACCGAGACACTACAGAGCCTCACAATATTGGGAGTAGGCTTGCCTAGTTTTCTTGTAGTCCTGGTACATTTTTGTTCAGATGCCTGGTATGGGAAACAGAGGAAAATGGAGAGGTCCAGGTGGGAGTCAGTCATAGGACGGGCTGAGCTGGAGTAGGGAATTATTGCATTAGGCAAGCAGCACACAAAAAGGTCTCCAATCAGAAGAGGGAGGGCTGATGTGGGGTCTGATATGGGTCCCAGGGGTTCCCCGGTCTGTGGTGAACTCACACACCCTTCCCTCCACTGCCATGGGGGCTGTGGATGGGCACTGACTGGAGAAGGGAGGGTGCTAGAAGTCTTCGCATTCTTTTAAAAATCATTATTTGCAAATCATACACCTTGGGATACAGAGTTCTCCACCCTCATAGCAGCTGGGAGGGTCTTCATGGGATCCCAGCTGGAAAACCACAGCCCAACCCCTGAAACTGACAGAGAAGGAGAGGGACCAAAGTCATAGATGGCTTTTATGGGAGAAAGGGCCTTTCCTTGTGTGACTGGCCACATGCCACTATGCAAAGTGCCTACTTGGTGAAATGTCAGCACAGGAAGGACTTGGGGGTGCACCCTGCCGACTATTGGGGGTCTAGAGGGATGGGGACATATGTGTGCCTAGCAGCTGGGAGGGCACCTGCAACAGTCATAGGGAATGAGGGTCAAGACCAGCATGGAGCTAGATACTGGTGTGGGTGTTTCCCTGGAACAGAGCCCCCAACCTTGGCACTGAGGTCAGGGGAAGGCGTGTGCCCGGCACACATAGTAGGCCTGCACTAAATACCAGGGAAATGAATGAACAGTAAATAATTTGTTCCGATTGATGAAAGGCTAACATGCTTACACAAGAAATATATCAGATCCGCATTTGGACCTCCTCTCCTGTGCATTTGGATCCTAGTGCATCTTTTTCAGTGGACTGAGAGCCAACAGCATGTAGCCGTGCGTGGCCGAATCACTCATGGGAGTGCATCGAGGCTTCTCCTGGGTGTGCTCAGCTCAGGAACAAAAGATGAGACTCCTGGACTTTGCACCACCTTGTAAAATTAATAAACTTGTAGCTTGCCTGAACTGTTCCATCATTCCCTGTTCCAAACTGGTTCTCCTGCAACCCATCCAATTATCATCATCCACACCCACAGTCCATTCACATCACCCCTTCCTCCTGCATCTCCAACATTTCCTCTCTATCTACCAAAACATCCAAATCCTCTCCACAGCATCTCCTCCCAACCCACCTTTCCAGCTTCATCACCTGAAACATCACTCTGTAGCCAACCCCTCTTCTGCCTCTGTGAAGCCCTCTGTGAACTGACTGCCCAGAATTCACTGCTCTTTCCCCTCTGCTCAGGATGCACTGCTTTTATCTCTTAACGATTTGGCCCTACTTCGGCCTCCTACACTGGATGCAAAGGACCGAGTCTGTTAATGAATGAATGGATAAACAAATAAATTCATTTAAATATCAGCTGAGGACAGCTATCCTCTGGCAGTAAGGGGTCCAGGGAACAGGCAAGGGGCAGATTCTAAGGCTGCATCTGTGGTGGCTTAGCTGAGTGGAAAGCTGAGGTCCTTGCAGTGCTGGAGGCACCAACATCAGGAATGGCTCTCTCAAGAGACAATGCAGTGCCTGGCAAGAGTTAGCCTCTGTCAAGGCCAAGGTCCGGATAATTGAGAAATGTCCCACCAAGAGCTCAGTTGGCCATAGAGGGCCTGCTGTGCTGGCAAAGAGCACTCCTGCCCAGGTCCCAGGCATGTTAGGAAGGATGGCAGGCCACCAGCCCCCATGGTAGGATTTAACGCAGAGGCCAGTACTGCCTTCTTGGCTAAGAGCTTCCAGAGCTGGGGGGCAGGCCGCTGTGTTAGGAAAATGTCATTGGTGGTGTGAGCAGAAGGAAAACACATCAATCCCTGCGGAACCCGTGGTGAGGCTGGCTGGGGAGATTGATCAGAAGAGTTTACAGTGACTGGACTGTCCAGTTCCTGGCAGTGGGTTGGCCCAGGAAAGAAAGTCTTAGGGAAGAAATGGAATCCTGTAGGCTTGATTCTGCAGGCATCTGGAACCCAGCCTGAGATGCTGAAAACTCTGCTGGGAAGAAAACGAAATTGGAGGAAGACAGATCTAATCCAGCAAAATTGGATGTGCTCAGGGACTGGCAAGGAGGGAGGAAACAGCAAGTGGCTGGAGGACCAAACATCTTTGGCTTTGAGTCCCTCTTGGCTTCGGAAATGCCCTGCCCCTCTCTGGCTCTTGAAACATACCACCAGATGATGGAGGTCCTGGTGTTCTCCAGCTTATGTCAGCCAAGGGCGATGGGTTGAAGTTCTGGCATTTTCAGGAGGTGGAGGGATTGAGTTAAATGTATGCAATGGGCAAGGCAGGGCCCTCCAGGATCAGGTCACTGACGTCGCTCAGGAGTTCGTGTTCACTAGCCGTGGCAGCATTTTGCAGGCGGCGGAGGCGGGCCTGCAGCTGCTCTTGCTCTTCTTGAGCTCCAGGTAGGAGTGCGAGAACGTATGGAAGATGGACGTGGCAGGGAAGGCCATGATGAGGATCCCGCTCAGAATGCTGCTGAGGGCCACCATCTGGCCCGGCACGCTGCTCGGGACCATGTCTCCGTAGCCCACCGTCGTCATGGAGATGACGGCCCACCAGTAGGAGGCCGGAATGCTGGTGAACTCCAGGACCTGCCCAGATTCATTCTCGGCCACGTAGACCAGAGGGGAAAAGAGGGTGATGGCCACGCAGAGGAAGAGGAGGAGCAGGCCGAACTCGCGCGTGCAGCGGCGCACCGTGAGCCCCAGCGTCTGCAGCCCCAGTGAGTGGCGGGCGAGGCGCATCACGTACAGGATGCGCAGTGCCCGCAGCACGCGCAGCGCCAGCCCCACCTTCTCCAGGTAGGAGCTCCCGCCTGGCCTCTCGCCGTCCTCCTGGGGCTCGTCCGACACGGCAAGGGACACGTAGTAGGGAAAGATGGCCAAGATGTCGATGATGTTCAGGGGCCCTTGGAGGAAGCGGCACTTGTTCCGGGCCTGGACAAACCGCAGGCAGAGCTCCAGGGAAAACCAGGCCACGCAGACAGTCTCCACGATGAAAATGTAGTAGCACTTCTGCGAGCACTCCCCCTGAAGAGGCGACAAAGCGCAAGGTAGAGAGGGTATGGGCCACAGCGCTGGAAATGGAGAAATAACGACACCGAAAAGCAATTCCATAGGTCTGTATGAGTATTGATTTTGAGTCCATATATAGAGATTCTCCATATATAGTGTCTCTGTATTAAATATTATGTTTATATTCTAAATATTACATCTATATCTCCATCTCCATCTAAATCTATATCATCTCCATCTCCCTCTGTGTCTATATTTATATCATCTCCATCTGTATCTATATCATCTGTATGTATATCTCCATCTGCATCTGCATCTCCATCTGTGTCTATATCTATATCATGTGTATTTATATCTACATCTGCATCTATATGTACATCATCTCTATCTGCATCTTTATCTATATCATCACCATTGCCACCTGCGTCTATGTCTATATCATCTGTATCTATGATGGATGAATGAAGGAATGACTGAAGCCAGATGACTGAGTGAAAAGCAAGATATGGACAACCACAGCTTTCTTTGGATTAAAAACCTCTGAAGTGGAAAAAGAAATTATTTCCAGTGCCATGGCTCACAGGAATACTAAATGGAAATGTTCTTTTCATCTGGTCTTTGCAGAAAGAAATGTGCTAGACTGCCCTGATCTCTATTTTTCCTGTCCAGGGCTGGGCAGCTCTCTCCCCTGCCTTCTATCAGGTCTACTAAAGAGGTGGGAGATGGTGGGGTGCAGTTGAAGGCGTGGAGTCCAGAGTGTCTGTGACCCACACTTCCACCTACTCAGGCAAATTATTTGTCCCCTCTGGACTGGGGGGTTCTCTACCCCAGGAGAATTATGACAAATGGAAATGATGCAGTTAAAGCAATTAGCTGACTACTACAAGGAATATTGTAGCTACTTGTATGAGATGATTCACTGGTCACAGACATACCATGCCTAGTGGGTTTAATGATATCAATCAATACTCTTCTCTTCTCCTGGATTTTACAGGAAGCTGAGGAAATTCTCCAACACAGGAGAGGTTTTTACCATAGGGTTTGTGTCAGGATTCTGGAAGGCTCAGGAGTTTTGGATCCTGATTCCCTAGTCCTGCTACAAACTTGCTGTGTGAACTTTCTGTGGTCACTGCCCCTCTCTGGGCTTAGCTTCGTCTTCTTCTTTTTGGCTTTTTTGGGGGGAGGGAGTGATTAGGTCTGTTTGTTTGTTAGTTTATTAATGGAGGTACTGGGGATTGAACCCAGGACCTCATGCATGCTAGTATGCACTCTACCACTGAGCTATCTCCTTCCTCCTGGGGCTTTAACTTCTGATGAAGGAGGTGGAACAGAATCAGTATTTCTCAAAGCTGATTCATAACTCCTGCATCAGAATCCCTCAGGTGCTTGTTATATACGCGGATCTAGGGCCCCCAATCACAAAATCAAAGTCCTGGAGTGTGGGGCCCAGGAATCTGTATTTTGGCAAGCCCTCCTGTTGACTCAGAAGCACCTGGAAGTTTTTCAGACTCTGGGCCAGATTTTTGTCGCTGAAATGGGAGTTTTTCCTTTGGCATAAGAGCCTCTTGTGACCTGGAAATCATCTTCCCAGACCAGTGACCCAATAGCTCAGGATGGTGACTCCTGGGAGGCAGAGAAGGCTCTGTTGGTCTTCTCTCTGCCTCTGGAGCTGGATTTTGGCTATTCCGGGCATGCGCCTCCCACCTTCCGCCGGCCACCTCCCTGCACTGCAGCAAGCTCTCTGCCCTGCGTTGCTGCTCCACTCCGCATCCTAAACCAACCTCCCAGCCCTGGTCCTCAGAGAAATGCTCCACTAGAGGCTGGTGTTGGGGCGGTGGGGATTTATAGGGCTTAAGATGAGGAAATAATTCCCAGGCCAGCCAATATTTGAAGAAAACTAGAACAGAAGGAAAGAAAAAAAAAAGTCACTCTTCCTCTCTCCAGGGAAGTTTCTGGTTGTAGGTAGGATGAACAACTCATTCTGGTTTGCTAGAACTTTCTGGATTGTGCAACAGAAAGTCCCAGGTCACCAGAACCCCCTGAGTCCTGGGCAAACCTGTTTGGTTGGTCGCCCTTCTGGAGGGCTTGTCCCTGGAGGAAATGGGGTGCGAATAAATGTCACAGATGCGGGACAAATGAGCCAGACTTCTGTTTCTATCCAGGTGAAGTCCAAGAGCAGGCAAAACTCGTCGGGGGTGGGCAGTATCACCAAAACAGCGGCTGCCTCTGGGTAGGGCAGGGAAGGACTACAAAGGGACCTGAAAGAACATTCTGGAGTGATGGGAATATTCCATATTAAACAGGGCTGAGGGTTTAAAAAGCGCCCATTTTTTACATTGGACAGCTAAGACTTGTGCATTTCAATGTATGTAAATTTTACCCATAAAATAAAAATAAAGTGAATGATCATGATGCAAAACGATTGAGGGTGGGAGGGGGAGAAGAGAGAGAGAACCAGAATGATGGAACGTGGACAACTGTGAAAGCTGAGTCATGGGTACTTGGGGACTCATTATATTATTCTGCTTACTTCATAAATGCCTGAAATTTTCCACTATGAAAAAAAAATCAGACTTGGTGGGAAGGGTATAGCTCAGTGGTAGAGCACATGCTTAGCATACATGAGGTCCTGGGTTCAATTTCCTGTACCTCCACTAAAAATATTAATTAAAAAAAAATTTAAATCAGACTCAGAAATCAAAACTACAATGAGATATCACTCTACACTCACTAGGATGACTGTGATCATAAGGACAAAACACAGCAAGTGTTAGGGGAAGGGGATTAAGAGGTATGAACTACTAGGTATAGAATAAATAAGATACAAGGGTGTAAGGTACAGCACAGGGAATATAGCCAATATTTTATGATAACTTTAAATGGAGTATGATCCTTAAAAATATCAAATCACTATGTTGTACACCTGAAACTAATACAGTAAACCAATAATACTTCAATTTAAAAAAAGTGTTGGTGAGGATGTGGAGAAGTTAGAATCCCCAAACGTCATTGGTGAGAATGTAAAATGGTACAGCTGCTGTGGAGAACAGGTGGATGGTCCCTCAAAAGGGTAAACATACATTTGCTCTATGACCAAGCAATTTTGCTTCTAGGTATATACCTGAGAGGACTGAAAACACACATCCACACAAAAACTTGTACATGAATATCCATAGCAGTACAATTCAGAACAGGCAAAAAGTGGAGACAAGCTAAATGCCTATCAATGAATGAATGAATAAACAAAATATGGTCTAGCCATACAGTGGAGTATTATTCAGCTGTAAAGAAGAAGGAAGTTCTGACACTTGCTACAAAGCAGATGAACCTTGAAAACCTTAGGCTCAGTGAAAGAAGTCAACATAAAAGACCACATTTGTAGAAATCCATTTCTATAAAATGTCCAGAAAAGGCAAATTCGTGAAGATAGAAAGTACATTTGATGGGGGGAGGGTATAGTTCATTGGTAGAGCGCTTGCTTAGCATGCACAAAGTCCTGGGTTCAATCCCAGTACCTCCATTAAAATAATAAATAAGTAAATAAATAAAAATATAATTACCTACCCCCTCCATAACAAAAAACAAAACAAAAAGAAAGTACATTCATGGTTGCCTGGGGCTGGTGGGACTGGCGGGAATGGGGAGGAACTGGTAACGTGTACAGGCTTTCTTTTTAAGGTGATGAAAACGTTTTGGAACTAGATAATGGGGATGGTTGCATAACTTTATACTGATTTGTGCTACTCTTTAAAAGGCTGCATATTACAGCGTAGGAATTATATCTGAATAAGAAACCAGAGCTGGAGTCTGAGTGGCCGAGCCGTCCCAGTGAGGGCGGTCCAGCAGCCAGGCCCTATTCCTTTCCCAAAGTTCCTAAGCAGAGCTGATCTGCCGGGCTGTGGGGTCAGAGGGTGGCCAGGGCTTTCTGAGGACAAGCCAATGCCCCTGAGAGACCAGCTGGACAGGCTGTCCGGGCAGACGGTGGCAGGTGCAGAGCGGGCCAGTTCTAGAATTCCATCTGGGAGGGACTCAGGGCCAAAGTCTTGACCTTGGAGCCTTCCTCGCATCCTCTGTCTCTCTCACAGCCATGCCTGCCAGCTCCCTCTTTGGGAAAGCGGCTAGAATCGGCCACTTCTTACCCTCTTTAGCTCAATGCCAGTCCCACTGCTCCACCCAGCAGTTCAGCCTCTCTCTCTTCCTTTCCTTTGCCTGGCCATGAATTCCATTGGTGCCTCTGGCCCTGGGCTGTTTTCTCCGAGACTTCCAGTGCCTGGCAGTGCTGACTCATGTCTCTCCCAGGAGCCAGGTCTTTCTCTGCCACCCTTCCCTTCTTCACGCCCCTTCCGTGGTCCTTTCCCACCTCTCCATCCTCTCGAGCCCCAGTCCCTCTTCCCAGGTGCCCCTACTCCCCAACCCCGGCCAGCACACAGGGGATCTGAGGAGGGTGTGAAACTGAGTGGGCGGGGGTAGGAATTGGACTCACCGAGACAAGCATCTCCAGAGAGAAGGGACAGCGTGCAGTACGGGTACTCAGGAAAGGAGGGCCCCGTCCAGAAAACAGGGGGTACTGCTTGTGAGCTAGGACACAGGGAGGCTCAGCCAGGGGGAAAAACCCACAACCCTCAAACCAGGTTAAGAAGAATTCCCTAAAGCAATTACCAAATGTCACTGAACACAGAGAAGCTACAGAGCGCCAGCTGTTCTTTACGGAGCTGATTCATGAGCCAAGAAAGAACCAGGGAGGAGGAGACACTGGTTCCAGCACAAGACCTTTTATCAAAGGCGAGGAGGAGTTGGGGGTGGGGGTGGGTTGCAGCCCCAAAGATGAGCTGCACCTGTGCTGGGAGGGTGTTGTTCCATCGAGGGGGCCCCAGTGCTTCCTCCTGGTCTTTAAAAATCTCTCTGCTCCTTCCTCCCCTACCCCAGCGAGAGGTAGAAACCACCACACAGATTGCCAGGGGAAGACTGAAGCAGAGCCCTGCTGTCCCACCCCAGGCCCCACTGTAGCTCTGCTCCCACCGGTGCACTTTGCACAGCTGCAATCAGAGTACGTCCCTTTGCAACATCCCCGAAGTCCTAAGCAAATCCCCGGGTAGGAGTAGAAGCTAAAGTGGGAGGAGACATGAGAGCACGTGCTGTGCTTGTCACTGGTCCCCAGCACAGAGCCGACCCTCAGGGAAGGTCTGTTGAGTGCACAAGTGAATGAAGGATGCTGGCAGGCACTGGAAACAGATGTTGGAGACTTCTGCCTGCTGCCTTGGCAGCTGCCATTTAGGTTCAACAGAGCAGGAAGAGCATTTGATGAGCAACATAGACAGGAGGAGTGTGAACAAGTCCCAAAGGTGGGTGAAAACAGGTGGTCTTGGCTCTTTGCCAGCACATGATAAATAGGACCATCAATCCCATGCCTCCCTAGGAACAGGTGTTGTCATTATCCTCTTTTATAGGTGAGGACATAGAGGCACCAAGAAACAGAGTGACTTGTCCAAGGGCAGAGCCAGGGAGCAACAGGCTGGGATCCCACCCCAGCAATGGCAGAGAGATTCTGGCTCCTTCCCATGAACGATACTGTTTGCAGCTCTTGGGGGTATCTTGGTAGCAGTAAAGAGGAAGAAAGAGGGCAAGAGAAAAGGAGTGAGTGTTCGATGGCAGCTGCCCAGTAACCTCCAGCCTCCCCCAGAGAGAGGGCAAGGTGCTCTGACCAGCAGAGAAGGTGGCCACTGGCTACATGGAAAGGGTGCTAGGGCTGAATGGCAAGGTTGACAACCGTGGTGGAGAACTCAGGCAGAGGAAAGCAAAGAACCTGGGGAATTGCACTGTTCATCACTGAATGAAGGATAAACAAGTGGCAGTGTTTACAGACAGTGGAATATTATTCAGCCCAGAAAAGGAATGCAGTACTGATCCAGGCTACAGCACAGATGAACCTTGAGCACATTATACAAAGTGAACAAAGCCAAAACAAAAGGTCACATATTGTATGATTCTATTATCTAAAGTGTCTGGAATATGGAAATCCACGGAGACAAAGCAGGCTGGTGGTTGCCAGGGTCTGGGGTGGGGGCCGGGAGTGGCTGCCTGATTAGTCCAGGATTTTCTTTAGGAGTGCTAGAAATGTTTTGGAACTTGATAGAACTGCTGGCTGCACAACATTATGAATGTGCTAAATGTCCCTGAATTGTTCACTTTAAGATGGTTGATTTTATGTTATATGAATTTCACCTCAATTATAAACATGGAGCTGGGATGCTCAGACTGTAAGCTCCAAGAAAGGAAGAAATTTGTCTTAACTGCAGCATGTGGAAGAAAGGACTTGGTAGGCACTCAGTAACTGTTGTTGAATGAATAAAAGGTAAATATTGTGACTTCCTGTTAACAAGTGAATAGGATGGTGACTAACATTTTTTGAGCACTTTCTAAGTGTCAGCATTGTTTCAATCGCTTTACAAGAATTAATCTTTTAATCCTCACCCTAACCCCTTGAGGAAAGGGCTAATAGCATCCCCATTTTACAGAGGGAAACTGAGGCTCAAGGAGTGACTTTCCAGGGATAACTGAGTTCATGAAGGATGAAGCTAAGATTTAAACCCAGAGTGTCTGTACTCAGAACCATCGTGCTGGATAGAGATGCACTTCACCAAGTCCCGCTGCACTAGAAACGTTAAGGACCATCGAGACTGACGATCTAGACTACAGGCAGAGCCGCCCAGCATTGGAAGCCAGTGCCATCCCAAGGGGTCAGGTTTTAGAGCCAAGTGGAAGTGAGCTCAAATCTGGGCTCTGCCACTTACTAATTGTGAGCTTAAGAAAGTGATAAAATTTCCCTAAGCCTCAGTTTCCTCATCTGTAAAATGGGGGAGTAGCAGCCATATCCAATTCCCAAAGCTGTTGCGAGGGGTCTGTCCATCCTGTCCAATGTCAGCCTCCTGGGGGAGGCACTTAATAAGCATCAGTTCTTTCATCCCTTCAGGGCTGAGCTCCCCCAGGGAACCCAGCAAAGTCCGAATGCTTCTGAAGGTGCTTAGGCACTTGGCTTGGTCCTTTCTGTCCGTATTGCCTCCTCCTTCTATTTTAATTTGCGATCTCAGGCACATACCTTGAACCCAAACTGCCAAGTTGACTCAAGGGATGTTGCTTGGAAAAGTCAGAAGAAAAAGGAAAAGGAAAATGCTTTCTTCGCATGTGCTCTTACTCTCCAACCCAGCGTGACACCTCTTCTGTGTCTGATGGAGGATTTCTGTGGGGTCACATCCCCTAGGGACGACTCGGCCCTAACAATCCCCCAGGCACCGCCTGCCCCCAGGAGCAGCTGCCCAGCTTTGCAGTGCTGCTGAATTGCTGCTTTCAGACTGGTGTCCCAGAGGGCAAGTACGAAATACCAGGCATGTGTGCCCGGGAAAGAACATCATCTTTTTATGTAAATGTAAGGGCACAGTTTGAAAGAACAAAGCCTACCTCATCCTCAGCCTCCAGGCTCCCTGAATTACCATCTAAAGGGGAAATAGATACATTTTTGGGAGGGCTGCGCCTCCCAGCCTCTCTCCAGGCAGAACACCCAGGGGTGGTTTCACAGCTACACAAAGGTCGCAGCTGGACAAGGGCATCACTGCTCTTATCCCGGCAGCAGAAATGGCTGCCTGATACCCTGATTCTGCGGACCTCTCACCCACTTATGTTTTAATTTTTTCAAGTACCAATTACATAAACCTGGGTTCACACCTTGAGTAATTTTCAAAGCATTAAGCTTTGAAAAGAGTTTGTCCCTCTGCACAATTTAAATCCTGGCTCCCTGAATATCCTTAAGAGGAACAGGCTTGTGAAGAATCCAGGGGTCCTTTCTCAGCAACTGAGATCAAGGGCAAACTTGGGGGGCAGGGGATGGAGTCTGCTTATGTTGTCCTAATCTTTTGCAGTTTGGGGGGTTTTTGTGGGGGTAATTAGGTTTAGTTATATATTTAAAAAAATTTTAATGGAGGTACTGGGGATTGAATCCAGGACCTCATGTATGCTAAGCATGGGCTCTACCACTGAGTTATAAGCTTTCCTCCATCCTAATCTTTTTACTGCAGTGTCCATGTGTAAATATTTTTATGAACAAGCAGGCTCTTAAATCACATGATTTCATGCTAAAGAATGAAAAAAAGGCCTGCGATCCAATCTACAGCTACAGTCCTCTCTATGGGGAAAAAACTGAAAATCAAAACATTTACATTGGTTTGCTTTGGGACAAAACATTTATAGGTTGGACAAGATACATTTTATTCAACAGATATTTATTGAGAGCATACTCCATGTGCGGCACTGGCTGGTTCTCCATCTAAGTCCTCTCTATCTGGAAAGTTCTCTGACCCTCCCTGGGATTGTCCTGGGACATATGTTTAAGGGAAGGGAACTTTTATCAACTGACACCAGTTGTCAACCATATGCAGCCTGCACTGCCTTATTTATGTTGTTGATTGTCTCTCTCTGTCCTCTACAATGTAAGCTCTCTAAGTTAGGTGCTGGGGAGCCATGGAGGAGTATAGAGCAGCATCTTAGCTAAGGAAACAACCCAGTCCTCAGTTTGAAGCTCTCCAATAACCTTTCCAACAAAACATTAGGTTCTGACCTAATTTCTCAGACCATCTGGCCCCCTGGGGGTTTGGAGAGTCTCCCACAGCTTCCTGGAAAGAGAATCCAGGAGGGGGCCAGCAAACATGTCTACTCTGGCCTCCGGGGGCAGGGTCACCTCCAGATCAACTCATCTCTGAGTTCTCCATCCAATAGGACTGACTCGGAGGCTCAGGAACGAGGGCCCAGAATCTCTGCCATCATTGACATCTTCACTAGGGAAGCCCTTGGAAGCCAAATGCCCTGAGCCAAATGCCCTTGGAAGCCAAATGCCCTGAGTTTCTTTATCTGAAAATGGACCTGGGATGCCCATGAGAATATTGGCTTAAGAAGGCAGGGAATCTTGGCCTGGTCTAGTGCACGGCACAGAGTAGCTGCTCAATTAATACGCAATGAGGGCATTGAGTGTATGATCCTCCACATTGATCTCACTTGTCTGATGGAGGAGGAGACTGAGGCTCAGAGAGGTGGAGCCCGTGGTCACAGAGCCGAAAGTGGTAGGGTTGGATCTGCTCAGCACACTAAGACCAGAGGGGCTTTGTGCGTACCCAGCGTTCGCTGTCCGATGCAGGGCCCCTCATGATTTTCATGGGCCCCCTCCATGCACCTCTTTTTCCAAGAACCAGACATAAAAATAATCTCTTATGACCGCATTGGTCTGAAAATGAATACAAGCCATGCTAGATGATATTCACTTCTTTCCTTCTGGCTTTAAAAGAGATGAAAACATATCTGTGGGCCCTCCATCCCCAGGGTCCCAAGCACCATGTGCAGTGGAGAAATGGACCACTCACCTGGTCCTCCTCGGCCCTCAGGTCGGGCATGGTGCTGACACACAGGCTGACAGCCGTGGTGGCCACGAAGAGGATGGACAGACAAGCAAAGACCTTCCCGGGGAGCCCGGACTGCGGATTTTCCACCATCTCCCGCAGCCGGTTCATGAAGAGCCCCCAGCGCGATGTGTGCACGGCAGGGCGGCAGGCCTCCCTCTGCTGCTGCAGCGCCTCCTCCCTGCGCAGCTCATCCAGCTCGTCCAGCTTCCGGAGCAGTTTCCGCAGGCAGCATCTCTCCAGGTTGGCTTCTTCAATCCCCCAGTAGGTCAGCTCTTCCTGGAAGGACAGCACACACATCTCCCGGAGGTGGACCAGCTTGCCGGCCGCCAGGAAACTCACAATCACCCCGAAAGCACTGGGGCTCCTGTCAAAGAAGAACTCTTGGTTATCCTCGTCATAATCATCGCAGAGCTGCGCAATCTCCTCGTGGCTCCGGCAGAAGCGGAGTTTGCTCAGGCGGCTCAGCGGAAACTCGTCCAGCGTGCTCCAAGGAAGGAGGTACCGCCTGCCCCCTACGTTGACCAGGATCTCTTTCTTCAGGTCCGCGGTGGGGGAGGCGTCCAGCGCACCCACCTTCCGGGCCCTGCGGTAGTAAACGCCCTTGATGGAGCGTGACTCCACTGCGCCATGCAAGAACTGACTCAAAGGGCTGCAGGAGCTGAAGTGATGGTGTCCGGGGTACAGGTCCTTGTCTCCGGAAGGCATGGGCATGGCCGAAGACATCCTGGTACCCAAAGGGACAAGAGCAAGAAAACGGGGGACACATCAGTCTCAGGGCCAAGTCCTAGACAGCACAGACATTTCCTCACATTTGCCTTCCTGCAACTGCTTCTCCATCCTTTATTCTTTTAATATTCCATCCAACATACATCTATTGGGCACCAGCTATGCACTTGGGATCTATCAGTGAACAAAAGGAGATGATGATGACATCCCTTCCCCAGCTGAACATTTACTTACCTCTCAGAAGAATCTCCCTGGAACAGGCATTACGTGGACTGGGACTTGGGGAGCTCTGTCATGACCTGGACAATTCAGAGCTGCATCACTTCCAGGCTGTGTGGTCTTGGGCAAGTGGCTTAACCTCTCTGATCTCAGCATCGTTATGCCAATGACAAGACTTGTACCAATCTTGCAAAGTAGAGTTGTTGGAAATACAGCTTAAGAGTGTCAAAGGTTCTCAACTGCAGGACCAGGTTCCGATCCTTTAAAAACTGCCACCACAGGTGGGTTTCTTAGCCCCTCTGAGCCCTTTGCTTTATCTGCACAGCTGGGGTGATTTGAGTGCCCACCTCACTGGGCAGAGTAATATATATATAAAGTGTATATTAAGAACACTTCTAGTCATTTCTGACATGGCAGGCACCAATCCCCATGCTTCATCTATGTTAACTCATCTAAGAACACCGTGAGGTAGACATTAGTACCTCCATTTTGCAGATGAGGAAATTGAGGCGCAGAAAGGTTAAGTAATGAGGAATGTGGCTGTGCTTGGCATAGCGTCTGACTCTCAGGAGATACTCTACAATGATGCCTCTTACTTGCTTTTGCATTTGGAGGACTCTGCTGTCAATGACAGCGTTCCTCCGTGTTCACTGGGTGTTTGTCTCAAACACTTTGCTGTGTGACCCTGAGCCAGTTACTTCCCTTCTCTGGGCCTCGGATCCTGTCATCTGTGAAATGAAGGGGCCTCTAATACTCTCTCCATTCCAGACCTATTTAGGGCTCTTGACTTAGAGGAAGGGTTTGAGATTGAGCCCATGCATTAAAAAAATCATTGCCACAATATTTCTCATCCTCAGTCTCCTGCAACCATTTCCCGTGTTACACATTCTAGCCAGAGCTGTTTCCAAAGCATCTAAACCTTACATTCCAAGATGCACTCCAATCAAGAGAAAAACTCAGCAGCTGAGTGGAAATAAAAGTTGCTCTCAATTTCAGAGCCAGTTGGAGTCCAGCAGGTAGTGAAGAGTTGAATCACAGTCTATGCATTTTACACTTGCCCCACCACACAATATTCTGCTATTCTGCATGAATTACTTCATTTGCAATGTATGGCCAGAGGAAGATGAGCAGCCTGCGGAGAGAAGAGTATTTTGAAATCAGGGAAGCCCTTCTCAAGGGTGCTTCTTTTCCGCGAGAAAATAACCAGACCCAGAGTACTGAAACGACTTGTCCAAGGTCACATAGCAAAAAAGTCCCAGTGCAACCAAAGACACTGTCTCCCAGCCGGGGTCTCTTTCTTCAACCCCAAAAACTGCCCTTTCTGCATTCACTGCACAAACTCAACTTTGCAACCCACTGCCCCCCACCTCCCCAGGAACAGCTGGCGCCCAAAGCCCCTTCCTGAACCTGGGAAAGGGCTTCACTCACAATAGCACTTTGGCCAAGATGTTTAAGAGCATCCTGCAAATAAACCCCCACCCCTGCAGCAAATAGTAACTTCTTCTCCCAAAGTTTAACTCACCCTCCTGTCTCAGCGAGCCCATTTCCAGCTGTTTCTCTGTCAGGCAAGGGAAGCCCCTGTCTCAGTGCCCAGGGAAGAGACAGGTTTGTGGTGGAGACAAAGGGGAAGGAGAGAAAAATCCCAAACGCAGCAGTTTCTGGCGGAGTTAGTTTTCAACCTTTCTTCCCTCGCCTCCTCCAAAAACCAGAAGTCCGTTCATTCTGCATCTCTCCAGCAGCTGCAGAAATGCTCAGGGAGGGATGGGGTGGGTTTTCAAAAAGGATCCAGAAGCCCCTTTCCCCGTGAGAGGTGAGGGTCTGAGGGGTTCATGCTGGGAGGGAGCCGGGCCAGCTGTCCTGCTTCAGCGGCAGGCTCTGCACTCTGAGTCCCACGGGGACAGCCAGTGTGGTCCTGCAAGAGAAGGGGGTGGGGGATGGGAAAGGCTTAGAAATAATCTCTCCATCAGCCAGGCAGCAGGCAGGAGCAGCAGCCGCTCTGCCAACCGCTTGGAAGGCAAGGAGAGCTGCCCTCCCTCCCCTCCAAGGAGGAGCATAACTCAGAGGGAGTGGAGGGCAACTTGAGGCTGGGGTGTCTGCAGCTATACCCGTTCCTGGCATCCCGGAGGCTCCCTGATGATGGGGAGGTGTGCAGGTAGAGGCTGCAGGAGGAACTTTTTCTGCCTTTAACTAGCCCATGCCTGGGACAGGTTCAGTGAAACCCAGCATCCGAGCGCTGGGTGGGCATTCTGGAGGCTGCGTGACAATCAGAGAAGAGGCGTGAGCGTGCAGTCATACACGCCTGGATCTCTGGCTCTGATGTGAGTGGTTCGGTGACCTTGGGCAGGTGACTCCATGCCTCTGAGCCTCAGTTTCTTTGTTAGTATAAAATATGAGAAGAAGACAGGGTTCAGGGAGAGTCACCCCAGAAGGCACGGGGAAGGCTGCTTCTGTGGATTTGGCAGCACGATTGGGATAAAGAGGAAGAGACCCAGTTCTAGGGCCTGGATCCTGGCCTCAGCTCTGCACTACCTTGCTGTGTGTCCTTGGTCAGTCACTTTGCCCCTCTGGGCTCAGTTTTCTCACTGGTCAAATGAGGACAGTGGAAGCAGTGATGGCTGAAGTGGCAAAACCATCTTCTCACGTAGGTGGTCCATGTACATTGGCTTTTATTAATTTTCTTAAGAGGTTTTGAGGCTCGGTCTCTTGGCTTCAGAAGGTGAGTTATTATTATCAGCTTCATTTTGCAGATGAGGCCTGGAGGTCTAGGGAAGAGGCTTGCTCAAGGTCACCTTGCTGGTTGGAATGTGTACTTAACAGAGACTTGGGGTTCTGATGCAAGGATCTGGGAGTGAGGAGGTCCAAGCTTCAGCCTTTCAAGGCTACCCTAGAGGGGGTGGCCGGAGCTGCTGGCCTCAGTGGGCTCTCTGTGGCCTGGGCGATGGGATGAATCCAAGCAGGAACAGAGGAGCCAACAGAATAGAGGTGGTCTAGGGCAGCAATTTTTAAATGGTGTTGCCAGAAACCTAAGGATTCTACAAAAATGATCAAGGGGGCTAGAATGAGGAAAGACAAAGGGGAGGGCAGGGGGATGGGAAGCTGCCTCACCATGGCAGCCTTCAATCTGATCAGTTTCCTACAGTGAGTCTGTAAGTGTAACCCAAATAAATGCTGTGGCTCCACAAGGCCCAGTCTTTACACTCAGCCCACTCCAAGGGATCCCAGGGCACCTGCTAGTGATGGAGATCCTCTGCCCCCTTCCCCGACCCCTCAGCTCTCTCAGACCCCACAGCTGCTCCAGCACCTCTCATAGACCAGACTCCAAAATCATCTGTTCAGGTCATTCTGGTTTTTTCCCCTCCTCTTTGTCTCCTCACCTCCCCCAGCATTTGTCACTTAACATCTCTGGCCATATCTCCCCCAACCTGTCTCCTCCCTCTCAGTTCTCTTTGGATCTGGAGTACATGGGTTCAGATCAAGAATTTACCATTTCCCTGCTGGGTGACCTTCAGCAAGTTTCTTGACCTCTCTGTGCCTCAATTCCCACATCTGTGAAATAAAGATGACAGCACCTGCCTATTGGTTTGTTGTGAGTATTGCACAAGTCAATTTACATTTCTAAAGCACTTAGAAGATGTTCTGGGCAAGCAAAGCCAGTCCCATTTAAGTGCTTGCTGTTATTAGGATTATGATTTTAGCAAGTCCAAGTTACCTAGGAAGATTTTGTTAGAAGAAAGGAATCTGCTGTTTAAAACTTTTTTTAGGAGGAAAGTTGAGGGGTGCTGATCTAGAGTGAGCCCCTCCTAACTCGTGGAAGGACTGAGACCCAGAAAAGGGGAGAAAGAGTCTGAGCTTGCAGGGCCAGCCAATGGCAGGCCAGGCTCAGGTAGGACTCGCAGCTCAGTGCTCTTTCCATGGCCACAGTGCCTTCTATTAGCCCTGTTGCTTTGGCCAGGCTATAGAAAATTTGAGCTTAGTCTGGGGTCCAGGCCCAGGGCGTTCATCAAGTACTTCTACAGGGCTTGGTAATGGTCTGATCCCCTTTCAGCTTAATGCCACTGCTTCCTGCCCACAATACTCCTGCCTGCTGTGTTCACTAGACCTCAGCTAACCAGGAAACGTAGCCAGGCCCCCATCCCTTTCCAGCCTCCTGAAGTCTGGGATACAGGACAGCCTAAGCCAGCCCGTCCTCACTGTCTTCTGAAAGACTGCCGCCTGCCATGCTTTCTGATACAGGGATGGCCTGTGACCAGGTATGAGTCTGCCAGGGCTGCTGGAACAAAACACGCAAAGGGAGTCGCTTAAAACAACACAACTGTATTATCTTGTAGTTCTAGAGGCCGGAACTGCCAAATGGGTCTTCTGGGGCATTATCAGGGCAGCATTCTTGCTGGAGACTCTAGGGGTGAATCTGTTGCCAGTCCCTTGGGGCTGCCCACATTCCTTGGAGGGTGGATGCCTCTCTCTGACCTCTGCTTCTGTCCTCTCATCACCTTCTCCGACCTCCCTGCCTCCCTCTTATAAGGACCCTTGTTATGACATTGAGCCCATTGGCTAATCTAAGGTCATCTTCGAATTTGAAGATTCTTAATCACATCTGCAAAGGTCCTTCTGCCATGTCAGGAATATATTTGCAGGTCCGGGGGATTAAGATGTAGATATCTTTATGCCCAATGAGGCTCATTTTGGACTTTCGGCCTCCAGATTTGTAAAATAATTAATGGATGCTGTTTCAAGCTGCTAACTTTGTTTATTACAGTAGCCATAGCGAATGGATATAAGCCCTGACTGACAGGCAGGTCACAAACTAGCCTTCAGAGATACTTGCCATTTGTTGGGGAAAAGGTGCTGGGAGGCTTGCCTGTACAGCCAGGCCTCCCAACACCTGCTTCCAGAAATTAAGATCCATCCATTCATGCCACAAACACTTATTGAGATCTGGTCTGTTGTGGCTGTCACTCACTGGCTGTGCGACTTTGGGCAAGTCATCATCCCTCTCTGTGTTCGCATTCCTTCTCTCTCCCTCCCAAAACCTCTCAGGTTTCATCCCCAGAGGCAACGCCAATGGGAAATTTCCTTTTCTCTATATAGTTCTGTATTTTTTTTTAATGGAGGTACTGGGGATTGAACCCAGGACCTCGTGCGTGCTAAGCATACGCTCTACCACTGAGCTATACCTTCCCTCCCTCTTCATTTTGTATTGTTGACTGTTTTTTTTTTAAATCATGGGCATCGTGTTGATTCAAAAACTTTTTTTAAAGTTAAATTAAGAGGTGTCTTGGTTCCGCTGGGACAGGGAGCCAACTTGGAAGAAAGAAAGAGATCATTTCTCAGAACTCCCACTGGAATGACCTCATCACAATCCTTGGGGGTCCCCACAGTCCACTGGGGTCATTCAGCGTGTCCTCATTGGGGAAACCAAGGCATCCTAGTAATTTTCATTATAGACTCTAAGTAAAAGCACATTGGGATCATTTCCCACTGGGAGTCCCAAAGTCCAGGGGCCTCCAGGAGCCAGGAAGATGACACCAGGCAGGCTGGCGGGGGCTGAGGGTTACTCAAACCCCAGTTCACAAAGACCAAATGTGGGTCCTGTGTTGTGATAGCTTTACACTTTGAAAGCAGAACTACAACCCTGAATTTCATGATAAATCTCTCAAATTCTAAATGTTGCCAACTAATGAGAAATTTACAAAGCACCATGGAGCTCACTGCGTGCACATCTGATGACTCAGCAATTCCGCTCCTAGGTGGCTACCCAGGAGAAACGTGCACATCTGCTCACCAGAAGGCACTGGTTAGAGGGCCTGTCACTGCACTGTTGTAACAGCAGCCAATTGGAACGCCCACTCACAGGAGAGTGGGTCCATAAATCATGTGTGCTCCTGCAGTGAAATACCATACAGCAGTGGGGTGCACACACTCCAACCATTTGCAACAGCATGGAAGAATCTCAAAGTCATTATGGAGACAGACACAAAAGGGCAGATACAGCAGGATTCTACTGACAGAACTTTCAAAAACAGGCAGAACTAATCTATGGTGATAAAAGTCTGGAAAATGACTGCCTTCAAGGGTGCAGAGTGAGTTCTGGGGCCTGATTACAGAGTGTTTTGAATCTGTGCATGTGATAATTGTACTTTAATATGTATGTTGTATTTAAATTGAAAAAATGGGTCTGAAAAACAACTATGAAAGATATTTTGGAAAATAGAAATTTAATTATAGACTGAGTATTAGATGATGTTAGGGAATTATTGTTAATCAATAACTATTTTTTTTAAACCACCACTGCTATGGAGGGCCAAATAAGACATATCAGTGGGCTGAATTCAGCCTTGGGCGCCCAGTTGGGACCAGATTATCACAAGTGAATGGCTTTGAAGTGGCTGGGCTTTCAAAGCTGTTTCAGCCCTGGAACCTCTGTTTTTTTGTCAATCACCGCTGAATCTTGCAGTTACTCCCGGCTCTGTCTCCACCTGGACCAAGCCTGCCTTCCCTGCCTTCCATCTTCCTGGAATTCTGAGGACCTAGAGACAACTCAGCGATGAAGGTTTGCCCGACCATCTCCCTCCTTCCTTCCTTCTACCTTCCTTTTCTAGAAGGAAGGAGAGAGATGGTTGGACCAATTATAGCTGCTTCAGCTTTCTGTTTAAAAATATTGCTCAAGATGTAATTATTCCCAGTGAAAGATGCAAGCTCTCTCTGAAAGCGAGTCTGTCCTCCGGCGGTTTGCAGAAGTTGGGGACTGGCAGGGACAGTCACTGCTACAAAGGCACAGCCATTGCTTCTGAGTGCCAGACAGCTGAGTCCTTTTTATTGGATGTGGGATTGCCCTCCAAGGAGACCAGATGTTTTATATTCTGGTTG